TTTTTGAGACAGGGTCTCACTATGTAGCCCTGGCCAAACTTACAACTCACTATGAGGCCCAGGCCTCCCTGGAACTCAGTTCTCATGCCTCAACCTCCCAAGTGCTGGGATTACAGGTATGTGGCATAAGTTTTTAATTAAAATAGCACCGAATGCTTCCAGGGGTATCTTAGAACCATCACACACCACACAACTGACATTTGGACAGTCTCACCTCAAACTTCAACACACATTTTCTAAGAAACACCTGTATTTATCTTTATTTGAGCTTTGCTATAAACCCAAGATTTTAGTTACATTGCATCTGTGACTTTTATCCTTTTTGCCACACATTTGCGGAATAGCTAGGAGAGGCAAAGGACAAAAACTCATGCAATAGGCTTAGATTTATGATCTCTCTACCCCTAATTTTTTCTCTATAGTTGGAAACGTCCCCTAGTATCTTAAACTCAGAAATCTAAAATAGAATTACTCACTCTTATCTTCAGATCTTCTTGTCTAGCATATGCATAGGTTGGATAATAGCCCACAATTCTTCTGGCTTTGCAATACTAAAATTACAGGATTTTACAGCCAAGGAGAATGGGCTCTGGGGTTACCTACCTGATCCATGGGTCAAGCTGTGGGCTCCAAAGGCCTTAGCTTTCACAAGTGTTGACTAAGGTTATTAATACAGTGGTAACCACTTCATAAGGATAAGATGTTGGTAAATTATAAACACAAGCTACTGCCATTATTATGTTACTTCCTATGTATATTTTATTACTGTCCCTGCCCTAGGTCACTGTCCTTTCCTCTTATCTTAGCACCACATTATCTTTTAAATTTCTAAATAGGACTCTCTTAATTCCAACCTTACCCCTTAGATGTATGTAAACATGGCACTTCTCAGAACTGGTCCTAAATACAAATCCAAGCAAGTCAAGACAATTAAAATCTAATGGTGATTTTTCACTGTCCAGGATATAAGCTAAACATTCCAGTCTGGTGCCAAGATTCTCAAAAATAGATTCAGGTGACACAAGAGCAATCATGAGAAGTCCAACCAGGCATGCACAATAATTTCTTGCTGAAGAAATAAATGGATTCAGAAGTTTAGTATGGTCTTTGGTTACACAGCCCTGATGTGCTCTAATGATCTTAATTTCCTCATCTGGAGGCTAATTATCATTATTTTGTTCTTTGCTTAAATCCTATAAACTTGCTAGTTTTCCTATCTTGGCACAAAGCCTTGATTGTCCATGTTTTATTCTCTAAATAACTTTTCACCTTAAAGTTCTAGTTGCTCATTTTTCACCTCCTTACTGATATTTTCCTGTGGGAATTTCTCTCTAACATCAAACTAATTTCACTTTATTCAGGAAGCTCTCTTACCCAAACTCGCCATCCTCTTTATTTTTTAAAGAGGCATAGAGGTTTACTAGGCAGAATTTAAAGTACCCAAAGAAAACAGAGTGCAGGCCCTCGAGAGAGAGGTGCATTACGATACCATTGCGTTATTTTAGATGAGTTTCTTTTGCTTTGTTAGTCCTCTAGGATACTGAGAATACTCCATCCTAAGACTTATTGCACTGTCCCTCTTTGGCCAGTTTATCTGAGTCCTATTTAGAAATGTAAAAGATAGTGTGGTACTAAGATAAGATGAACGGTAAGCTTAGGAACCATAGCCTATAAACTTTTTCAGTCCTTGCCAAAGGGCCACTGCCTGTAACAGGTGATCAACACCAAGTTCACAGATCCATCAACGTGGTAGCCAGAAATGTGTCTGCTACAAACTTACTAACTTTTCACAGCCTTAGTCTCTAGAAATCGTTAATAAAGAGATTTGAAAATCTACAAAAAATTACCAGCTGTTTTGATTTTAGTGGGCAGAATGCTCTCAAGAATTTCATCTCTGACTGCTTTTCTCAAACTGCAACTTTCAGAGTGCTTACATCTGTAGTGCTTGTTAAAGGTGCAGATTTCTTGGGCCTACACAGATTTACTGACTTGGGATCTCTGGGGGGAAAGTCTAGGCATCTTTATTTTTAGTGTACAGATAGTTTTACTAATTTACAAATCAAGCCTATACTTCTTTGGATGGTTATATAACAGTATTGCAATTTAACAATTTTCAAAGTGTGGTACAGGGATATCTGGGTGTCCCTGAGATTTTTTTCAAAACTATTTTAATAATATTAGCACATTTAGCTGGGTGTGGTAGTGCATGCCTAGAGTCCCAGCACCCAGGAGGCTGAAGCAGGATGACTGCTTCGCGTTCAAGGCCAGCCTGAACTATATAGTAAAACCCCTTCTCAAAAAGGCGGCGGGGGTGGGGGGGGGATTTGCCTTTTTCGCTTTCATTCTGTACAACACGATGCAATTTTTCGGAGGCTACATATTGAGTGGCACTTCAAAAGAATGCAGGAGAAATAAAAACCTAGTTCTTTTCTACTAAGTCAGACATTAAAGAGATTTCTAAACAACTGCCATTGTAAAACACTGCCATTCTCAATATTTTTGTTGTTTTGGAAAATACTTTAAAGAAATGCTGGTATAGAAGAAATGGCAATCATCAAGAAATCAGATAACAACTAAAGCTGGTGGGGCTGTGGAGGAAAAAGGAATCCTTCACTGTCGGTGAGAATGTAAACTAGTACAACTGGTATGGAAATCAATATGGAGATTCCTCAAAAAACTAAAAATAGAAATTCCACTCAAATCAGCTATTTCCATTCTAGGTATCTTCCCGAAAGAGTTAAAGACAACATATTATTGTGATACATGCCTACCTGTGTTTATAGCAGCACAATACAAAATAGCTACATCTTGGAAGCAGCCATTATGTCCATCAAGAGATGAATGGATAAAGAAAATGAGGTATTTATATACAATGGAGTACTTCTCTGCCATAAAAGATAAATTTGAGTCATTGGTAGGAAAATGGATGCACCTCGAGACCATAATGGTAAGTGAAATAAATGAAGTTTAAATATCGCACACAAGTTTAAATATCGCAAGGTTTCTCTTATATGAGAACTCCAAAATATAAAGAGCTAAATAAAAGATAGATAATAGGGGAAAAAAAAGGGAGAAGGGGAAGGAAGGTAGGAAAAAATGCAGCTGGGAGGACAGGGAGAGTGAAGGGATGTAAAAAGAACTAAGACGTATTATGAACATGTACCAAGTCCTCAGGATGATTGTAATTATTATGGACTGGAAACATGTACTAACGAAAATTTTACAAAAGAAAAAAAATACGGAGCCTTGTATTAGTCATACTATTATACATGGCTAAGTTAGGTAGAAATATTATAGGCAGTCAGACAGGGTTAGGTCTTTGAGGGAGTCAGTGCAGATGAAAAAGACATTACAACTGTGGCCGCAGGCATATCTGTGGAAGGCCAGGCCTCAAGATAAAGATGGAATGATCAGGCCTACCTGCTTCCCTGAAGGATAAGCCATAACTTAAAGAATACACTATAACTGTTATCACTTGGTCCAATAAAGTCTAGATAGACATCAGTCACTCATGTGGGTGATCATACTCATGCCTTCCTAAAAATGTCTTTGTTATTTTCGTGTACACTTGCTATGTGACCTGCTTCCCTTTTGGATCAATATTAAATATTACCTAAGCAGCTATACTTGTAATCTTATTGGCTGATCATAGTTTTGACCCATGTTGTACTCACCTCGTGATTTTGCTCTATAAAACTTTCTCAGAGAGGTGGGCTTATTGGCAACCCACTTTCGGGTCCCCTCCTGTCTCTTAGAAGCTCTCTCTCTCTCTCAGTAATTCTTCCTACTTTTAATCTCTGTTACTCCTTAGAATTCATTCGATTTTGGGGAACATGAACTTGTTATACCTGACATCTAGCAGGCTGAGTTACACTTTTTCCCCCTATACTAATACACAGAAATGACTTTTTATGCTCTGCAATAACACATAACCTGTATCTAATGTAAATATTTCTGAACAATGTATACCCTGCACTGAGACTGTTAAATATTCAAGGACATCTTTTCAAGTACATGTTAATATTAATATTCCTTATTTATGTTACCAACATATAAAAACTGTAAAAATTTATAGGGACCATGTGATAATTCAATACATGTAAATGTATAATGATCAAATGAGAAAAAAATGCTGGCATGTTATCATGTAATGAGTATATTATTTTACTATTAACTTTTTGAAAGTTCTGATGTTGAAAATGATAAATATTGGTAGCTATGATCCAATAAACAAAAACACTCTGAAGTTCTTAGGAAGTTTTAATAGAGATTCCAGGACCTAAAAGCTTGAGAACTGCTGTTATAATTAACAGCAACATTATAAAGATCAGATTAAGAGAACTATTAAGTAATTTACTAAGATAACATACGTAAGCCTCAATCCTATCCATTTTCTATTGCAACAGAGGAAATTATTTTATTTTACACTTAAACAATATCTATTTCTTTTTTTGGAGTAGGCATTTATCACAAGCTCCTGTCACATATAGTTAAGCCTAAATTAAGGATAGTAAATGAAAATATCTAAAAGGTTTTAGGAAGTGTCAATTACACGTAGCTATTAAGAGGGTTAGTTCTGAAGGCATTAAAGGGAGATGGAAGACCAGGATTCTTAAAAGCCCAGCCCCTTTACGTCTTGGATTCAGCTATCCACGTCTTTACAATAAGGTTGCCCTGACTGCTTTTCTGACTGTGTGGTTTCCTGCACTCCCCCTGCCCAAGGGCAAATGAGGAGGTGCATCTTCCAGAAGAGGGCAGGAGTAATGAAAGTCTTAGAAAGAGCAGGTCCTGCCTCCGCTTAGAAGCCTTCATTTTCCACTGACCGCCAAGTGAAAGCCAAACTCCTCCTCGGGCTCGCAGGCCTCCCACACCCGGTGCAGAAGTCCTGGCTCCACCTCCCTCCCTTCCCATCCTGCCGAGGCGCAGGGACCCTTTTCCCTCGCCTGCACTTGGCGAAGTTTGTTCCCCCAGTGGCCTTTCTTTCTACTTAGCATACTTGCCTCCAGATCTGCATAAGACTTACTACCCCTCACTTCGTTCTTCATCATCCTGTCAAGTTTCTTTAAAGCACTCAATTACCATCTTAGAAAATCCTGTTTGCAGACTTGAGGTCTGCTTCGCTCACCAAAACGTCGGTGACTAGAAAGCGGAGTTTCCGCTCACTCCCATCGTGATAGCCAACCCCGACCCCGACCCGAGTCTCGCGCCCCGGTGCCTCCCTCACTTACCGGATACCCGGTCCAATCCCTCACTTACCGAACCGAAGGCGAACTCCTTCCGCCCAAGCCGCTGCTTGACCCGGAAGTGTTCTTGGGCAGGGGAGCCCCGCCTGCGAGCTAAAGGAGTACTTCCGGGGCGGAGGAGCGGCGAGTCCGCGGCTGGAAGCGGTGCGGGTGGGGCTGCGCGCGGTGCGGGGCTTCGTGGGGCGCCGAGGCGGCGGAGGTCGCCGGGGCGGGGGAGGAGGCGGCCGGAGGGCGGGCGGCGGTCGCCTCACGGCAGGGCGCGGGGCTGGAAAGCCTTGGGTTATTGAGGCGCTGCGTTCCTGTGAGTCCTTCTCTGTCGCTGTCGGGAGACCTCAGGGGCGCGTGTTTACGCCACGTCTCCGGGTGGGACCCGCTCCCGGGACTGGGGGAACGCGAGAAAGCACGTTGGCGCGTCTGGAGACAGCCCCGCGGGCAACGGTAGGACGCAAGCAGCTGTCACCTCCGCAGGTACTGTTCGCAGCAGCTGCTGACCTTCGAGTGGGTCGGTGCCGGCAGTATCCCAGGCCCTGCGTGTACCTCGCGTCGCTGCTCTGTGTAGGGAGCCCCTCGGCGCCCGGTCGGACGGGGGAGACGCAGGTGCAGACGAGGGAACTGACTTGGCCACGGGCGGTGCAGTCTAGGTCGGAAAAAGTCTGACCGCGGAGTAGGGCTCGGTGTTAAGCCGCCCGGCTGTCCACTTTGTAGATGAGGTGGGTGTGTAAGTATGCATTTCGTTTTACTTTTGAGGTTCCAGTTGCTGGGGCTTTTTCCCCTCCAATTTTGAAAACATAACTACAGGGCACCTGGAAAACTTGCAGAAACATTGAATAGTGCACTTCCATGTTCGTGGCGTTATTATTGTGCCCCCCCCCCCCCCCCAGTTATGAAGCTGTTGAGAATAGGGATGCTAAAGCTATTCTAATAACGATACTAATAAGCAACCCTCAACACAAAAAAATTCTGGTCCGGCAAATTCTGGATCCTCATTAAATCTTTGTTGTACAAATGCAAGAATAGAATTAGCTAGTATTAATATTTTGGAGTATGTCCTTCTAGCCTTTTATAACGTGAATTACATGCAGTATAGTATATGCAGTATTGTTATATGCTGTAACCTGGAGAGAGCATAAGGAAAAACGGTAAAATGCATATTTAGTCATCTACGGAAATATTGAATATCGTGCAAGGATTGTATAGTCTTTCCTATTTGATGGGCCTTTGAATTAAGTGGAGTAGAAATTGTTTTGCATTAGTTCTATATCTCCAGATCTTGGTGCGTCGTACATCTATAAGATGTTTAGAAGCAAGTGAATGCATGTATTTCAAGTTGGTTTGTGTGTCAGGTGGTAGTTGTGTCTGTATTCTTTTCCTGTACGTATTTTGGGACTGTGTAATATATGTATATGATATACTCACATGGTTTAGGCTTCACGGTATTGTCTTAATCTGCCTAGCCTTGTGCTCCCCATCGTCGTCGGCCTTATTTTTTAACTACTCCAGGTGACTGACTCCATATACCTCTAAGCTTTCTCCTGTGTGGTTTCCATACCCTTGAATTCTCCCATTGGCATTTTCATCTTCCAGCATCTTAAGCACAGTTTAAGGCAGTGTTGCAAACTAAAATGCCCATAGGACTAATCAGGTTATAACAAATGATGAAGTGGATTTGAGTGGAAATTGTGCCCTATCCAAGAGCTCTTTTGCTAAGTTAGTTATTACCCAGTCAGATGTACCCCTGGTGCTGCCAGATCTTCCAGTTTTACAAGAGAAGTTGGAAACGTGTATTTTTATATGAAGTCCAATTTTTAAATGCTAGCAACTAATTTTAAAAAGTTTAAATACCGCGCAGTCCAATTAAAAACATCTGTAGGCTAGATTTGGCACTCAAAGATTACCAGTTGGTGACTACTGCTTGAGGTTTATTTCAGGTTCTGTGTTTATGAGTTATATTCCCTGAATCTTATGGCCAGCTTCCTCTCTTTTTCTTTTAACATTTTGTATGTATGTACCTTTTTTATAGTGTGGTGTCCAGTCTGTCTTGGTTGTTAGTGTGTCTTTTCTATTACATTAGAAAGTTTGATGGCATAGATTGTGTTCTACACTTAGTGCACACTCGACTACTGTGTTCGTACATACCTAGGGCATGTGTATAGGTATCTGTTTATGTGTGAGATACATTTGTTTGGTGATATTTATCCTGCAAGTTATTATCTGCTTTTTGTAGAAGTACAAATAATATCTTAGCTTTAATTGCCAAAGAGCTTTACTGCTATTCAAAGGTAGTCTGACAAGAATATTATCTATGGCTTTAATAATCTTTCTAGAAAAATAGAAATAGTAATGATTAATAAGGTTTTTGTATAATAATTGATTAAGGGAGAAATTGATAACTGATACCTCATTGAAATGAAAAATTTGCTCTGTGAGAGACTCCATGAAGATGAGAAAAGATAAGCTATGGTCAGGGATAAGACATTTGTAAGCTACATTTTATGTTTTTTTAATTTGGAAAAAAATTTTGGTGCTTTTTATTACTACATGTTTGTAGTACATAATGATTCCATTCATTGTGGGGAACTGGTACATGTACATAACACATCTCAGTTCTTTCTTTCCCCCCTCCCCCCCACTCCCTCGTCCTTTTTGCCAGCATCAGATTCATTTATCCTGTAAATCCTTATAAAGTTAATTATCATACATGTAGACTAACGGGGGAGAAAAAACCCTATAAAACAAATCAGACAATTATACTACATCAAGGCACACTTTTAGATACATTGACCATGATGGATTACAGTAACTTTTTCCTCTTTTTTCCTCTCCTCTCTTATTTTGCACTTTATTTATGTTGAGTTTCTCATGTAAGAGAAACCATGTGATATTTAAGTTTGTGTGTCTGATTACTTTGCTAAACATTATAGTCTCAAGGTGCATCTCTTTTCCTACAAATGACTCAAGTTTGTCTTTCTTTATAGCAGAGAAGTATTCCATTGTGTATAAATATACCACATTTTCTTTATCTGTTCATCTGTTGTTGGACATATAGGCTACTTCCAAGACTTAACTATTATAAATTGTGCTGCCATAAACATGGGTGTGCATAGATCACTGTGGTATGATGCTTTTAACTTTTTCTGCAAGATGCCTAGATGGGGAATAGCTGGGTCTAGAAGGGCCTCCCTTTCCCCTCCCCAGCCTCACCAGCATTTGTTATTGGTTGATTTCTTGATGCTAGTCTTTCTTTATGGAGTGAGATGGAACCTCAGTATTGTTTTACTTTGCATTTCTCAAATGGTTAGTGATGTTGACCATTTCTTCATTTATATATTGTCTGTCAAACTGCATTTTAAACAGAAGACTTGAATGTAGAATAAAGAGCTTTCAAAATTCAGCAGCAAAAAAAAAAAGAAAAAGAAAACACAACCCCTCACCAAAAAGCCCAAAGAACAAAACTGCCAACTCTAATTATAAGTAAGCAAAAGATACAAATAGGTCACTGACGAGGTTATTTAGATGACAAATAAGCAAATGAAAAGATGTTCAACATCATTAACTATTATAGAAATGCAACTTAAAAGCCACAGTGAGATACTACCACTTAGCTTCTTGAATGGCTTAAATAAAAAAAGTTGGAGAGAAGGGAGAGAAAATGGATCACTTACACAATCCCGGGGGGAAGTAAAATAGCATACTACTCTGGAAAAGAATGTAACAGTTTCATATAAAACTAAACATGTGCTTACCGTAATAACCCATTGTTTATACATTGGTCATTTAGCCCAGAGAAAAGAAAGCGTATGTTTCTGTAAGAGTCTGTACATGAACTTTCAGAGTTACTTTATTTGTGTTACAGCCCCAAATGAAACAACCCAGACAACCTTCAGTGGGTAAATAGCTGTGATTATCCATACCGTGGACTACTACTCAGAAATAAAAATGAACTATTGATACAGCCTAAATGGATTTGGGAGAACTTTGTGCTGAATGAAAAAGTTAATCTCAAAAGATAATATTCTGTATGATTTATGTAATATCATAAAATGACAAAATTTTAAAGAGGGAGAACAGATTAGTTCCTGGTTGCTCTGGGTTGGAAGATGTGTGGGAAGTGACTGTGGTTAAAAAAAAAAAAAAGAACAGCATAGGGATCCTTGTGATTAAACTGCTTTGTATCTTGACTGTGGTGACGGTCACAAGAATCTGTGGAGATGGTGCTCCATATCAGTGGGTTCCTCGTCGGCAGATTCAACTGGCCACAGATTGAAAATTTTGGGGGGAAAAATTCATCTGTAGTGTACCTATACAGACTTTTTCTTGTCAGTGTTCCCTAAACAGTATAGTATAGCACCAATTTATGTAGTATTTACATTGCATTAGGTGTTATAAGTAAGCTGTAAGTGTTAAAGTATATAGGAGAATGTGTGTAGGCTATATGCCATACTACAGGAGTTTGTGTAAGGGTTTTGCCATCATCAGGATTCTGGAACCAATCCCCTATGAATACCAAGCAATGACTGCATATGTGATGAAATTTTATAGAATTATGGACACAGAAGTGAGTACATATAAAACTGCTGAGATCTGAGTGAGGTTGGTGTGGATCATATCAGTGTCAGTTTCCTGGTGTGATATTATGCTGTAATTATCTAGTGTTAACTGGGGAAACTCAGTGAAGGTATATGGGGTCTCTCTGTATATTATTTCTTACATTTGCATGTAGATCTGTGAATTTATACCCAGAAAGCCTATATAAATACCTTTTTTCTTGGACTTTTTATTTTATCAGGTGATGTTCTAATCATGTCAGATAAAGATGATACTGAGACTCCAGTAATAAAGGAGGCAACCCCTACCCTTGAAGATGGAAACTGTGAGCCAGATAAGAATTCTGAGTCTGTTGACCAAAGTGCTGAGCCAGAGAGTAAATCAGAACCTGTGGCATCCACTCGGAAAAGACCAGAGGTCAAACCTTCCAGTGAACTTGAAACTTCCAAAGTTCAGGTATTATAGGTTGCACCCAAAGTAATACATTTTAAAATATTAGAATGTAAAATAGTAGGGTTAAAAGATTTAATGTAGGGTTGCACTTCTTCGATTTTACAACCATAAAATACATTTTTGTCTTTTTATGAATGCCATTATAAGTAGTTGTCTTGGCTCCATGGTGCTTGTGTGGTGATAACATGAACTTGTCAGTCAAGTTATTTATTGATTGCTTTATTTTCTGGTACTCAAGATTGAACCTAGGACCTTTGCACTGAGCTACATCGCCAGCCCTCCTTTCATTAGTTTGAGATGGGATCTTGCTAAGTTGCTGAGGCTAGGCTTGAACTTGTGATCCTCCTGCCTCGGCTTCCCAGAGTGCTGGGATTACAGGTGTGTGCCACCAGGCCTGGCTCAAGTAATATATTTCCTTAGCCAAATAATTTGTATTTGTCCATTCATACTTCGGTTAATAGTTACCTTGTCTGTATGTTCTGAGTCTTCTATAATTTTGTATTTTCTATTGTCTTTTGTTTTTCTCCTTATTGGGAAAAATAGGAGACTGTTTCTAAAGATGTAACCCAGACTGGATGGGGATACTGGGGAAGCTGGGGCAAGTCTTTGCTCTCCTCAGCCTCAGCCACAGTGGCTACAGTAGGTAAGATCATTTCATTATTTTTGTGTGCACTGTGCTACAGATACGTGTCGTGAGTGACTTTGTTAATAATTCTTCCCCCCATGTTTACTCAAGGGCTTTATAGATTGAGGATGATTAGTAATGATGGCCTGATACATTCTGCCGCTAGACTTTGCAGCATTTTCTCATGAGAAAGTTGAAGCCTAGGAATTGTTACTGTAAGCCTGTGCTGTGGGGATGATGAATCAGCTGTTTTTGTAAGGAGATAATACTAACGATTAGTTGTATGTTGTTAAAAATAACACGCCTTGTGATCATAATGGTTTTAGAAATATGCAGGTATAATTTTTGGTTTGTTCACCTTTGGTAACCAATAGCAAAAATGTTATCATTTTTCGTACCAGGACAAGGTATTTCACATGTCATTGAGAAGGCAGAGACTTCCCTTGGGATCCCTAGTCCCGGTGAAATTTCCTCTGAAATCAAGTGTGCAGCAGGTCAGTATATGGAAACACTAGGGTCTGGAATTTTGGATTGAGCCGGGACAGTTGAGCCTGGTTTTCTGTAGGTGTTTAACATCTACTTCTGTGTGGCATCATAGGGCTGTGGTGACATAAAGGATTTGAAATCTTTAGCTGCCAATTCAAGGTCTGTGTCGTATAACCACTTGTGTGTCTCTTCACTTTTTGCGTCTGTCAGGTTATCTCAAGGAACTGTTGAAAACATTAAATACATAAAGCCATGAATGTAGAACATGAGAATTGCTTAGCATTGCATGGCATGATTAATAAGTGACCAATAAGAGTTAGCTGAATTTGGATCTTTCATGACCTGTTATTTTTTTAATGTGTTAGTTGGGGGCTATATTTTTTGTTACTGCTTTTACATTTGGATTTTTATGAAGGTGAAGTTTTATTCTGAAGGTTTTCCTTGATCAGGTCCACCTGGGGAAAATAAGCATCCCCATCAGTGACCAACTCTTATTAGTTGTTTGTACTTCTGAATTTCTAGGAGAGGGGGTTATATCTGCCTAAAGTCAGATCACTTTTAAATGGGTCACTTACGGTCAGGAGAGAATTTCAGATTGTACAAACATGGCTGCAAATGACTGTGTATATGAATTTGAGGCGCTGTTCTTAGGGAATTCTGCATCACACTATTCTGGCTGCAGGTAACAATATGAAACTAAAACAGTTTATTTTTCTCAGTAAAGAACTCTAGAAGTATACTTGTAGGTACAGATAGTTTAGTGATTTATTGATGACGGGGTTCTGGGTAAGATTCCCTCCAGGTTTCTTTGTTGATTTCTTCGTTGTTCTTTAATGGTTGCCAGATAATACTCCAGTTGCCAACTATGGTGTTTGAAAACAAATGTGCTTAAAGTCAGGAACAAAATAGATAGGAAGTATCATTTTTCCTCTTGCATCTCTTTCTCATTAAGAAGAGTAAAGATTTTCCCAGAAGCCCCAAACATTTCTCCTCAGGTGCCTTTACCTGGAACAGGGGTCTTACGTTCATTCTGTAGCAGAAAGAGATTCTGGGAAAGTGGGTTTTGAGCATTTATCAGAAACTTCCATATCAGTACTCTCATTTAATAGGGAGGGAAAGGGGAGTTAGAAGTGGTTTTGGATATATAAACAACGGTGTGTACAGCATCTGAAAGATGGCTGCTATACAAGACCATGTTTAAGAAGGGTATTGAAAACTAGACTGAATCGTGCAAGAAGTAGCTACCTAATGAAATAGATGGAATTAATGTCTTAGAAAATTGAAGGCATCATGGATGTTGACTCTGAAAATCTAAGGACGGGAGATTGAGAGAACGTGCTGTTTTTTTTTAAATATCTCTGAAGACTACCATAGAGAAAAGGGCTTAGGTTTATTGTTTGTGGCTCAGGAGGACAGACCGGGTACCACTTAGTGGAAGTTAAATTGACCTAGATTTTAGTTTAATAAGTATTTAATAATGAGAACTTTCCAAAACTATAGTGGATTGCCTTTTTTTGGGGCACTGGGGATCGAACTGAGGATGTTTTGCTTTCAAGGCAGGCAGCAGCACCACTGAGCTAAATCCCTGGCCCTAGATTGCCTTTTCATAAGTCCTTCCCATCTTCTAAACTTCCTAGTGAGGGTGGTTAATTTTACTGCCAGGCATATTATTGGACTGTGTCTTTTCAGAACTTTGTGATGTGCAGAGGTTACTGATGAAAATCATTTGATCATCACTTAGAGATTTTGTTGTGTCTTAAAAGGTACTGTCTTCTGCTTTCCTTTTGTTGAAGGTAGCTGTGATAAATATGTAGGTTAGATACTTTCAAGACATTAAGCTTATTTAGGGTGAATCTGGAGTAGCCCACGCTAATGACTAGTTTATATCTACTGTTAGGACCTCAGAAGATAAGGTCTACCAAATTCTCAGTTGTTTAATGAAATCTGTCTGTTTTGGTTTATTGGAAGTCTAATGCCTAAGCCAGGCAGGAGCTCTGAGAATAGCTTACTGCTCCGTAATAGTTTTTTTCCAGCCTTGGAGAGTCCCCTATTGCCTGAGCAGTATAGTATCCAGCCAAAGACACAAGTGCACACCTATGTAGATTCTTAGAGCTCTTCACTTTTGTAACCCCATCCTTTCCAGTTTTCTACCTTGGAAATTCCAGTTGCTTCAGCCTTCCCTAATTCTAGTCTTTTTCTCTTTGAGTCATTATGCTTTGTTGTGCTCTGCTTAGGTTTTCTCATCTTGTGTCCTGTTTTGAAAAAATGCCTCTAGACAGAAAGCCAATCCAATTGTAGAGTTCACTTTGTTTCTCTGTTCTCCTAGACTGAAGTCCTGTACTTCTTGTTAATGAAAATTTTGTCCAGTTTTCTACTTGGTGTTGTAGGAGGGCAAGTCCAATATCAGTCCTGCCTATAATAGAGTATTTGATATAATACTCTATATAGTTATATATTTTTTTTTTTTATATATATATAGTTTGATCATTTGATATACTAGTTGATCTATGAGATTTTAGTGTAAGAAAGTAGGTTTTTTGAAACATACTCTTCTTTGTAATGTATATATTCTGTTCCTACTGATTATAATTTTCTAGGATAAAATTGAGTTATTTACATACAGCAAAATTTACTCTTTATAGCTGTGCAGTTTTATGTTTTGATAAACACAGTTGTACTTATAACTGTATAGTATACCATGTGTAACTGTATAGTACAACATGATATACAGAATATTTCCTATACTATATAGACAATTGAGATGTAAGAGTATTTTTATTACCAAAAAAGTTCTTTCATGGTACTTTGTAATCACTTCCTTCTCTCTTCTTCAAGCCCTTGGCAACCACTGATCTGTATTCTGGTGCGATAGTTTTAATTTGTTTAGGAGATCACTCAGTATATAGTTTAAAGTTGTTTTGATCAGTAATATGCTCAAAAGATTGCATTTAATTTTTGAATTGAAATTAAATGAAAGTGAAAAAACAGCTGCGTAGTTAGCTTTCATTTTAAAATAGGCAGATGGTTTAAAATAATAAAAAGGCTTAAGGTCGCAGGAAGCGGGGTCTAATTATTAAAAAGTCACTTAGACGCTAAGAAAGCAAAACAGTGACCCTTCCTTTCGTATTTACCTTTCATATTTACCTTCCCCTATTGTAGGAGAGACAAATGCCAGAGAGAATGAAAACTCCTCTCTGGTGGCTGGTCCATTTGGTGTATTCTCGACCATTTCTACTGCTGTTCAGAGCACAGTGAGTAAAAAGTGCAAGGTGGCTTTTCATTATTATAATGGTCTGCCTATCTTTCTCCTTTTCCTTGAAAAGCCATGAGAACTGATTATTCTTACAAGAGTCCAAATAACTAAATATCAGACACTTCTTAGGGTAGAGTAAGAGCTGTGTGAAACTTTCTTTAAAGAAATGAAGGTACATAGAATGAAGAATTACAGAGAGGCAGTGTATATAAGATTTTATGGACCAGGAATTATTAGTTTGGTGGCCCTAGACAATGTCTTTGGGTTACAAGAATATTTTGTCGATAATTACATCTTTCAAATGGAGGGAAAAAAGTGTCTGTCTTTATGATAGGCACTTGGAAAACTATGGATGGTAAGAAACATTAAAAAGGATAATGGAGGATGCTTAATATTGTTCCTATATAAGAGTTGTTGGCTAGTACTTTTTTTTTTTTAACTTTTTGTTGAAATACATCATAAATACAGAAAATGAAATCATAAGTGTTCAGTTTGAATTTTCACAGTGGGAACATACTCAGACTAATATTAGGGAGTGTGCAGTCCCCCTGACTTATTCCATCTCCTGCACTGGGACAACTACTTCTATCATAGAAGAATTTTGCCTGCTTTTGTGCTTTTTGTAAATGGAATTGAACAGTGTGTACCCTTCTATATTTGGCTTCTTTCACACAATATTATGTTCGCATCATTTATCCATGTTGCAGTTTATGTGTATTTTCTTGGCTGTGTTCCATTGAGTGACTTTGTCACATTGCGTTTATTGCACAGTTGGTAAGCTATAGCTATTCTAAGTGATACTGGGTCAGTCTTGTACATATGTGTCTTCTGGTGAACTTCTGGAATTGCTGGGTCTTGCAGGTGTAGTAGATGCTGACTACCTATTTACATTAATGCAATGATATGATGACTGCTTGCTCCACATTCTTCTCAATGATTGGTATCTATGGCCACTACTTTTAAATACTGTAATCAAAATGTTTAAATATATTTTCTCAATATTGTTGTGATGAAATTGTGTATTGTTTCTAGGGAAAGAGCGTTATCTCTGGGGGTTTGGACGCCTTAGAATTCATTGGGAAAAAGACAATGGATGTAATAGCAGAAGGAGATCCTGGCTTTAAAAGAACTAAGGGGCTGATGAACCGAAATTCTACACTATCTCAGGTCCGGTTTTCTTTACCTGTTTGGTTCCTGTTTTTATTTTGATTTGTATTTTTGCATTTATTAATGTGGAACATTGTTAGAGTTTCCTTTTAAAGAATTTTCAATGATATTTTAAATTAAAGCTCTGGGGGTTGGTTGAGCAGTGAGAGCGCTAATGCTTAGAAAAATGCCAAGATTTCTTTTTTTCTCTCTCTCCTGTTTGTAAGAGTCTACTGTCAGTGCGGTGCAAAATGCTAAATCAAGTCAGAGTTTATTAGATTAATCTTTAAACCACTTTGAAAGAAACTCCGGGGTCCTTAGGTATTATTTACACTGTCTAGCATCAGATTATGTGTTGTTTTTTTCCGGCAGCTCCTGAGCCTATTGGATTTGAATCACAGTGCCGAGAAGGAAAGGGTAGTGCTCTGTACTGAGACCTGTCTCAGCTTTGATTCCTTCCTCTCTTGAAACTCACCCTTGAGCTCTCATTACTTGCTGCAGTGTAATGCCTTCATCTCTTTTTAGGTTTTACGAGAGGCGAAGGAGAAAGAAGAGCTATGGACCTCCAATGAGGTTACCATGGAAACTGACAGAAAACCTCATTATGGGCTACTCTTTGATGAATTTCAAGGCCTTTCACATCTGGAAGCTCTGGAAATGCTCTCTCAAGAAAGTGAAATAAAGGTAATTCCAAACCCAAAATTCCAACTGAAAAACTCTTCAAAAAAAGAATTGTTGCAAAGCTTATTTTCTCTTTGTGCAGTTGACAGAGGAAATGCATTTCTGATGGAGGCTTAAGGGTCTCTGTAAATACTGTAGCAGAACAAATGAAAAACTAATGTTTAAATTATTGCTACAGAGGAACAAAATGAGTCAAATGTGATTTCTCTATAATGACACAAAAAGGGACAGATTGAGATCTTAATAGCACATCTGCTCTTTTTCTTTTACTCCAGTCTTTTTTTCTTTTTTCTTTTTTTTTCTGGTTTCTTTGGCTTCAGCAGCCAGAACAAAACCTATTGTCTTAAGCTGCCAGTTTGTAGACAGTTACCTGTTAGCCTTTAATTGATTCAAGACTATTTCATTTCCTCTTGATTTCTATCTTTTTTTTGAGACAGAGTCTGGCTCTGTAGTCCAGGTTGGCCTTGAACTCACTGTGTAGCCCAGGCTATTCTGGAACCACGGTAATCCTCTTGTCTCAGCCTCCTGAGTGCTGGGATTATGGGCATGTGCCACCACCCCTGGCTTTTTGCAGACATTTGTGGAAGTAGAAATTCTTCTACCTTTCTGTAATAACTAGCCTTCTGTCTTAAAAGATTCCTAAGGAATTGCTTGTATTGGCTGGTGAGCCTGTAATTCTGACTTTACCTTGACCTGTGTTCTCTTCTCCATCTGAGAATGTTTTTTCCTTTCTTCCTGCCACAATTTTTTATAATTTTATATCCATTCAGGTGAAGTCTATCCTTAATTCTTTGAGTGGAGAAGAAAGAGAGACCCTAAAACTTGAATTAGAGCAACTCAAAGAAGCATTTTCCCTACCAGAGTTTTGTGATGAAGAGGAAGAAGAGAAAAAAGGTAATTCAGAAGTTCAGTATCTAAGTGGGGAAGATCCATTATGTTAATATGTAGTGCTTTGTGTGGAAATAAATTAGTTACTCTAATTACACTAGGCTGATTTTTTTCATGGGAATTTTCATGCAAAATCCTCTCTGTACCCTTCCCTTTGCTGGGATGGGCAAGTCAGCCTCATGTCCCCTCTCCTCTTCTCACTGCCAGACTTGTAGCTGCTCCAAGTCCAGTCTTGCAGCGTGCAACTCAGTCTAGTTTTGCAGTGAGAAAAACTGCTGTGGTCAGATCCTTTACTCAGTTTTTTTTTTTGGTACTGAGGATCGAACTCAGGACCTTGCGTTTACGAGGCAGGTGGCGTCCTTTTCTCAGTTTGATTATCCCATGAGCATTTATACCTCTTGATAACTCAGCTGTGCCTCGCTGACTCCTGTCACCTCAGATCTGTGGTGTTGGATTGAAGCGTGCAAGGTGGCAGCTACCCAAAATGTGGGTGATAATTTTGCTTTTCATTTTTACAAGTTATTTTATCCTCAGTTTTGTTTGTTTTTTGGTACTGGGGATCAAACTCGGGACCTTGCGCTTGCAAGGCGGGCGCCGGACCACTGAGCTAAATCCCTGGCCCTTATCCTCAATTTTAATATGTACATCTCTGAGAAAATATACATGTTAGAAATGCGGTAGTTTATGTAAAGCATAATTGCTGGGCAACTGAATCATGAGCTGTAAGGGGTGTTTTAACATTTTGGAAATATTTCTAAGATGTATTCTACACTGTGTTTTTTAAAGAAAGTGGAACCTAATGAATAGTTTTGCCTTTTCTTGATGACATAATCAGTTATGAACATTAAAATTGAATAGAAAAATTCTGCTGCTGTTTGTTAGGACGTACAGGGTCAGTCACCCATGTGGTCGATAAATCAGTGGTTTACAATGTGTCTTCTGTAGATCTTTGAGTCCAAAATCCTTAAAGAGAGTAATAATCCCAAGATGTCATTCACTTGAAAAAATGTTTTTTATTTTTTTACTCTTTGGACAGTTACTATGATGAAAAGTGGTAAAATTGCTGGTTCCATAGCCAGTAGCACCAAGCTGTGCTAATATTGTTTTTTTTTAAAGTGCCAGTTTCATTTAACTTTGACCTTGATGAAGCAGTAAAAATTATTAATTTTACTAGATCTTGACCCTGAAGTATACTATTTAATATAGTGTGTGATACATACTGAAGTAAAGTGATTTTCTCAAGCAGTGCACTATTATGGTTTGAGTTGTGAGGCGAACTAGGTATTTTTGTCACGGAGCACCGTTTTCACTTAGAAGAATACACAGCACATGAACTCTTCAGAGTAGAAAATTTAGTGCACATTATCTTGAAAATGAGTTAAGTGAGCCTTTACTTCAAGGAAAGCATCTGGTTGTTTTCATGACTCATGATAAAAATTCAAACTAAGTCAAAGTTAGAAATTTGTAGAACATATTTATTGATGTGGTGAGCTTCACAGCTTCCCAGTGCTGTTTACAGATTCTTCTGATGAAATCTGTGGTGACCGTAACAAATAGAATAATTTCTAGATGTTTTACAGTGAAATGTGCCAGCATTTGGAAGATCTGCGTAACTCAAAGAACCAGTGTTTCCCAGTGACTAATGCGTGATGTTACAAAATCATGAATGGACAAAAGAGGGTGGTAGATTGTAATTTAATATAACTGAGTGCAAAATTTTTTTTTTATTGAATTCTTTTATTGGTACATTGTAGGTATACAACACAATTACATTTCTCATTGGGAATTGTACCTTTACATGATGCATCTTGGTTCTTATTTTTTCCCCATTCCTAGCCCTCCCTTCATGCCCTCCACCCTTCCCTATTTACAAAGACTTTATTTCCATTTTTTCCATTTCTCATCATTTTTCCTTTCCCTTCTTTCCTTTCCTCTGCCCCTCCCACTACCCCTACCCCTTTGGACCTTTTCTTCCTATTTTACATTATCGATTATTCATTCTAATCATTGGTACATTTTAGGTATACAATATAATGACATTCATCATTGGAAATTTGCCTGAGTGCAAAATTTTATAATATGCTTTCTAGTTCATTCCAGTACAGATCATTGCAGCCTATTCTCTGTTAAAGTCCACTTGTTGAATTTTGATGTATTAAAGAATATCTAAGTCTTCACCAATTATCTGAAAAGGCTATTAAAATACTTCTTCCTGGGTTGGAGATATAGCTTATTGGTAGAATGCTTGCCTATCATGTGCAGAGTTCTCACTTTGATTCCCCACACCACCAAAAAAACCCTGTCTTTCCAGCTATGTGGCTAAGAGAATCCAGCCATGCTGCATTAAGCTAACCATTAAAGACATTTATCGAAGATGTAAAACAGTGGCATTCTCATTAAAATTTTTCTCTTTTGGAAAACATTTTTCTTTAAAAGTATGTTAAGTAATGGGTTTATTATTTTCAGTGAATAAATACATACCTTAAACATTTCAGTTTTAATTTTTAATGTGGTAAATGTCTATATATGTATAACTCACCTTGAAAAAGCTCTTTGGGGTTCTCAAAAAGGTTTTAAGAGTATGAAGAGGTTCTGAGCCCAAAATGTTGGAGACCTTTTAGGTTAAATTATCCTAAAATGTAGTACTTCTAAAAGTGACTGATTGCTTTTAAGAATTGTGCATCCTTATTTCTTTCTGTACATTTATCTGTCCCTCTTGTACTTCGCTTCATTGTCAGTGAGCTTGTGTCTGATGTCCCCTGAATCTCATTTGGGTTGTTTCTGATCTACTGCGGTGTGAGTGAGAAACCAAATAACTACCCTTTCTCGGGTCGTCCATTGAGAGAGGAAAGAGCTCAGGACTAAAGCTGTGTGTCTGGATTCTGCACTGACATGGACCTTTTCTGTTTTGTTTTTGTTTGTGTTCTGCATTGTGTTCTAAGAAGTCAAGCTAGCTGGTTACATAACATCTTGCTTATTTTATGTGAAAATACTGCTCCTTATTAAAAAATGGTTTTTGGCCAAGCATGGTTGTGCACACCTGTAATCCTAGCACTTGGGAGGCTGATGTGGGAGGATTGCCCCGAGTTCAAGGCTACAGTGAACTACATAGTGAGACACTGTCTCAGAAAAGAAAAAGAAAATGGTTTTTGAAGCTGAGTGTGATAGCACATGCCAAATAATCCTACCACTTCGGAGACTGAGGCAGGAGACTCACCACAAATCCAAGGCCAGCTTGCCTAGACTACTTAGTAAGATCCTGTCTCAAAACAAAACAAAACAAAATGGGTTTTTGAGGCTGTCCTGAAACAGCGGTTTAGCATGATTTTAAAAAGATGGATTTCAGGGCGGGGGGTTTAGCTCAGTGGTTCTGCCGCCTGCCTCACAAGTGCAAGGTCCTGAGTTCGATCCCCGGTACTACCCCACCCCCACCCCGCCAAAAAAAAGATGGGTTTTAGAGTTATACACTTGGGTTCAAAATGAAGATCAGTCGCTTTTGTAGAATGATTTTTTTTTTTTTTTGGTACCAGAGATCGAACTCGGGTCCTTACGCTTGCAAGGCAGACGGCAGAACCACTGAGCTAAATACCCGGCCTGAAAATCAGTCAGTTTTAATGGGTGGCACATCATAAGCACCCAGCAAATGGTGTTTATTATTTTTACTGTTAGAAAGATAGAAGTAAATAGATTTAAAAATCTGCATTTTAAAAGTCTCACTTAGCAGAAGACCCATCATTTCATTTTAACTTTCTTAAGTTTCTCCGTTGTTCCTAACAAAGCCTTGTTATGACAATTCCTAGTTATTTATTAGCTTATTTGTTCATGGTACCATTAACAGTATTTGTTCAATTTTGTCAACATATGGCTTTGTGTAGTAGTCAGAAATCCCGGTCTTTAACTAGCTTTCAGAGAACCCTAAGATCTTTTCCAAACAGATGGATTTGGGTTTGTGATATATTTTCTCCTACCTGTTTGCCAGAGATGAGGACTCTGAAAACACAAGCGGGGATTCCAGTGTGCTACCCCACCCCGCCCAGCCTTCCCCAGCCCTATTCACCCTATTCAGTGATTTTGGTTGAGAATGCCACAGTGACTTTGGTGAAGCTTTTAAGAGAGAAAAACGCGAAGTAGCAGAGAGAAAACCAACCCATAGAGCCTGGTTCTCGTGAAGTTGGTTATCTTCATTTACCATCAGATCCGTGTCCTTAGCACTTGCACCTCTGTCTTACACACCTAATCTCTTTGCCTAAGAAGGACTCTTTCTGCTCAGGGAGACCAGTCTCTTTCCACATCCCTCCGCAATGCAAGTGTTTTATTTTTTCTATCCTTAAACACTTTTATTTAATTAACAGCTACTTTTTATACTTAGTTTTGTGAAGAGTGTGGGACAGTAACCTCTAACCTCCAAATATTTTTTTTTTTTTTTTTTTTGGTACCGGGGATCGAACTCGGGTCCTTGTGCTTGTGCCCCAAATATTTTTTTTATCACAACTTTTACTAGTAGAAATTTATCAGGCACTTAGACATAATGTATATATGTTTGAATGTTTATAAATATATGAACTACTGTAATAATGTATTTTGTACATTAAAAATATGCCCGAAAATAGAAGTTTTGAATAGAATGAGATAAATATCTCTAAATAAATGTCCTTTTTTTTCCCCCTGCATGCCATGGGATTTTTGAACCTTCTGGTATATTCATCCCCTGACGGAGTCATATTCATTCTTTGAACTTAAATAATTTAGAGCTTAGTGGGGAAAATAAAATGCCTACCTAGGAGTCAGGTTTTAGATTTTTCCTAGTAGAATAGCATTAGGAGTTGTTTAGATGAGTTGGGATGGTCAGAGTTATATCAGTGAGATCAGCTTTTCCCAAACCAAGTTATAAGATCAGTAAATTATTTTCTTTGCCTTGAGAGAGGGACAAGATTATAGTGGATGGAGAGAGAAGAGCTGAGATATTTTTCCCTTGGGGATTTTAAGGGGAATTGCCAGGTATGCAGCAGTCATAATTTGCCCTTGCAAGTCATGGACATCTACACGCACATCTTGATGGTAAGTACTAGAAGATTCCTGTGTACTTGAGTTCTATTCTGCATTCCATATTGCAGAGAAGCCCTAGACCAGGCCTTGGACCGAAGGAAGAGTGGTAAAGGTATATATGTAGAGAGGGAAAGAGCATTTCTTGGCATTTATTCAGCTGTGTTGATTGTGTTTTGTCCTTGACTCACTGATTCGCTTGTATGTTTCTCAAGTGTAGGTATTGCATGTTACCTGCCATTTATTATCAGGCTGATTCCAACAGTTTCCTTACAATCCTTCCAACATTCTGGATTCTCTTTCCTTTTTTCTTCTTGATCCACCACTATCTCTTATGTGTATCATGGATTATTGCCTCAGCTTTGCCTCCCTTTTTTTCCCCCATCTGATCCATTTCCCACTCAGCAGCCAAAGTGATCTTTGTATAATTTAATTTGGCCATACCTGTCTTTGCTTAAAATGATTCAGTGGTTCCTCACTCCCTGACTATAAAGTTTGAGTTCCTTATCATGGTTTATACGGCCCTTTACTGTCTGGATCCCACTCAGCTTTCTTGCTCCTTTTCAGTCCTCCTCTTATAGTAGATACTGACCATATCAAACTTTTTGCCATGCTTTCTTTCACTCCTAAATCTTTGCACTTTTTTTTCTGCCTGAAACGTTTCTTTCCTATCCCAACTTAAATTCTATTTCCTTGGAAGCCCTGTACCTGCTTGGTACTCTACCTTCACTACTTCTCCATTCATCTTGGTTGTAACACAAAGAGCATGGGGAGCTGGAGGAGCAAGGTTTAACTCCTTAATTTCTTCAGGTCCTCATTTCTTCAAGCCCACTGAAAGGATTCTTTGATATAATGTACACAAAAGGATTTTGTAAGCACTACGGCACTGTGCTCCTGTCAACAGCTGCTGCTACATCGTCGTTATTGTTACCCTTGGTACTGCTACTGCTACCCTTTGCATCCTCCTCACCTTCCTCATGATCCTCAGCAGTCTTTCTGGAATGTTTTACACAGGACTTGGTTTTTTAGGGGATGAAGATTTTACCAAAGAGATAACAGAGCTGTTTTCCCATCTGCACGTCTCTTCCAAACCAGAGAAACTTGCCAGGGTAAGTTACCCCCTCCTGGTGATTTTCATTATTTTATTTGTAAGAATTTAGTAGATAAAGAACATAAGATTATACATTTCTGGCTAGACTGTCACCAGAGTCAACACACCCAGAAATGGGGTTCTACACCATCTGCCTGCCGCCTGGTCCTATATATGAGTATGCTGAACCCATGTCCACTTCCCAGTCCCCCTCCAAGCCTTCATCTCTTCCAGCACTTACTTTCATTTGGGATGCTTTGCTTGTCTGGGAGCTTAATTTAGGTCCCAGTATGGTCATTTGAGGTTGGCAGCGCTGACCATGTTTCACAAGGCCTCACAGGTCTTGGCTCTGAATGATTCAGACTAGATGTGGTCTCTGTCCACACGGTGCTGGATGGAGGCTGCCATTTTCCAGAGTCTAGTGACTCACACAGTTACCAGCTAGCATGTGGAAATGAGAGTCCCATGGCCCAAGCCATGGTCTTTGGTGATGACTCCTGAACTGTCTTCATACATCTGGAACATGGAGAGACTTCTGTCAGAGCTCAGAGTGGGTAGGGAAGGCCTGTTTCCATCGCAGTGCTTGAGCAGCGTATATAGCAGTGCCAGCTCATGGACCATTATTCACTGGGTCGTGCATTGCTTCCTGCCTCTACCCACCTCTCTCAACCTTGAGAAACATTTCCGATTAGTCAGCAGCAGCACACACTGCTTCCTGGCCGGAGAGAGCTGGTAGTCACTGTGAAGTCAGTACAGTAACTTTTCTCCCACATTCCAGGGTATGGAATATGCTGCTTTGTGTTTCTCCCCAATCTCTTGTGCCCCATGAAAATGCTGTATTCTCCAAGAAAACGTTTCTGACTATTCCTCAGCAGCTCATCTACCTTATTCAATTGTAGCCCTTCACCATAAGTACTTTCCATTTTGTTTTAATCTTGTTTTTATTTTGGAAATAATATCAACCTTGGAAGTTGCATAAATAGTACAAACAACATTCATATATCTTTTATGCACAGTCACTGTGGTCAGCTGTTGCCCTCAGTTGCTGAAGCACTTGTGCTTACACCTGTGCTCTGTGTTTACAAGTACACAGATACCCAGACAGTATTTGTAAGCGTTAGATTATTTTACTCCTAAATATTTCAGTGTCTCCTAGGGATACAGATATCTGTTACATAACCACAGTATAGTTCAGTAAGTTTAATGTTAATACCATGCTTTTATTTAATCAGTGTCCATTTTCAAGCTTTTTCACTGACTCAGTGATGATGTTTTTCATATCAAGTTTTTTCCTTTAACACTGTAGCCATAAATTATATTTAGTTGTCACGTACTTTTAGTCTCCTTTAATCTATAATAATTCCTCAACCTTTCTTTTATGGCATTGATGTTTTTGAGGATCCCCTTCCCCCCTTTGTAATAATAGACATTCCTTATTTTCAAGCTTTGTCTGGTCCTTTCTCATGTTAAAGTTAGGTTATGCATTTCTTGGCCCAAATGCTCTGTAAATAACAGCCTGTCCTTTCCAGGATACGACATCTAAGGCACTTGATTTCCACCTGTGCCTTATTCGTAATGTGTCGTGTGATTTCTCTCTGTAGAGTTATGATTCCTTTTCCTTTGCTACTAGCAGCTTTCTGTGGCGAGAGGCTACAAATATCCCATTCTTCATCATAATTTCCTTCATAAATTTAGCTTCTATTCATGCTTTTTGTTGCACCAATCTTTACTGTGAAGATTGCAAACGATTTTTTTCTCAGTTTTTTTTTTTTTTATCCCCAGTACTGGGAATCGAACTTGTGCTTGCCAGGCAGGTGCTGGCACCACTGAGCTAAATCTCCAGCCCTAAAGTGATATTTTTCTAACCTGAGCACTCCCCCACCCCTTTGCCAGTTGGCTGTCAGCATTCTTGTAGTCAAGAGCGCTCCCCTTTTGGTTCTTTTTTTGTCTGTTATTGGTATGATTTTGTGGATTTCTACTTTTTTCCCCAGTGGTTTGCACTTTATCAGTGTTCTTGCTTATTTTGATATTCAGATTAGTCTTCAGGCTACTTCGCTGTGATGCGCCCCCATCATTTGGGGGTACTCCCTTACTTTCCGGCATAACGAGATATTATAAACTCGTCTTGTACCTTCTGTGTCCAATCCTGGAATTGACTATTCCTTTCAGAAGTGAATTTCTTTTTAATATTGCAGATCAAGACTGGGGACTAGGTGTCTTCATCGTTACTGGAGTATTTTTGCTTCTAGGCCTAGTCAGCAGAATGAGGAAATACACTCATGCACACACACCTGTATGTGTATGTGTGTGTGTATTTACATTCATGTGCATGTACATATGTAGATAGATGCGCTTACATGTATGCATATACACATTTTGGAAACCAGGAGTTCACACTGGTAACTCCAATTTTACTCCATTTTTATATGGTTCTTTCTTGCATTTCCCCATTACACATTTGTTTCTCCCTTCTGCAGTAAGAATCTTATCTTCTAATGTTAGCAAATTTCTTTAATCATAAAATGCATCTGAAATAGTTTCATTGCTTTGTCCATACTGCTTCAAAGTCAACCAAAAAAGAATTTATGATTTATTTGCTGTCGCCCATGTTAATTTAATTTTTGAATATATAGAGTAGTAGCATACTTTCAAAAGTCAGAATTGTACAAAAAATATACTCAAACAAGCATCATTCCCTCCTAATTTCCTTCTCCATTTTCCTCTTTTAGATGTTAAACTTTTGTGTTTTGTAGCGTATCCTTCTGCATGTGTATTTTCTTATCTTCTTACAACAAAAGTAATATACTATATACTTCCCTTTTCCTTAGCATTTTTTCACTTAAACTTTTACATACGTGTTTTTATAAAAAGATCAGTTTTTAAAAATGTATGTATCTTACCTCCCAACCCAAATGTTGACTTTCTTAAAGTCAGGATCTATGCATAATTGGTTGGTAAAGTCCAGCTCTGCTCTCTCATTTTCTGTGTGACCTTGAACGAGTTGCTAAACTCTCTTTGCTTTCCTTTTTCTGTCTGTGAGGTGGGAATAATGTAGAGTTTTTGTGAGAATTGAAAACCTTAATGGACACGAAATTCTTACAAAGCGCCTGACACATTGGGAATGAATGCTCACTGTTAATGACCCCATAGGAGGTAGCCTGATACATGCTGATATTCGATAAACATGTTCAGTTAACCCTCATTATGCAAGATAATTTACTAGGTGCTAGGGAAACAGTAGTGAGAAAGACATAACTTCTATGCTCAAGGAAATTACATTAATGAATACATATTTTTAAAAAGGTATTAGCTTGCTCATCTCTTTCATAGTTGTAGCCATTCCCTGAAAGCATTCTTCAGATTGTTTAATTTTGGGGCATTGAGATTTAGGATGTGGAATAGTTAAAGATCAAGGGCTGGTTATATGTATGATATGGAGAGAAGAGCCCTGAAGTAGGAGTTCAGGAGTCCAGTTCTTACTCTAATTCTGACGTATGTGATATGTCCTTGGGCAAATCCCATTCCTTCTGCAGTCCTTACTATTTTTGAGCTGGAGAAAAATTAGTTGCTAGAGAAGCTAAGCTTAAAGATGTTTTTTAATTCCTAAATCTCCACACCTTACCGGTGGTAAGTTCCAGACTGCATCAGGCAGTCAGAAAGCATCAGTAATTTTGGAAAAGGATGATAAATTATCTGAGTTGGGACGGCAGTTCATGATGACTTCCCTTAATGTATTACAAGACAGGTCACTTCAGGTGTGTACTATACCTACTAAAAATCTCCTTTCAGTATGTTAAATTCTTGTTCTTTTATGTGGCCTTTTTGCCATTTTCTTTTCTTTTTTCTTTAAAGTCCAGATAAATTAATCCCTAATTTTTTCTTATTTTATCTCTATGAAGAAGTTGCAAACAATTTTATGTACTGTTTGGACCTTTAGTTGCTTGATAAGATTCTAGCTGGATCTGTCACTATTTTCCTTTGTAAAACTCACCACTCTGATGTTATCTCCTTTCATACTCCTCCATCCTCTGTATTCTCATACCAGTCTTTGTTCTTTTGCCCAAATATACCAAGCTGAATTCTCTACAGGTCTGTTGTCTTTGGGTATACATTGGTGTGCCCAATTCCTTCTTACTCTTAGAGTTCAGCTCAGATTTTATTCCTGTGAGATCTTCCTCATCACCCAAAGTCGAGCCACCCTCCATGGATCCAATTCTGCACTCTTATTACTCCATTTTACTTTCTTCATGCATGTGTTTATTTCTTTGCTCATTAATTGGCATTCCTCACAATAATAAAGAAGAGCAGCCGCTTAGTTTGATCATTCATTCCTAAATCCCCAGGATGTAGCATAGTGTGCAGTACCTACAATAAATGAATAACTAAGTGCCAATATTCTGTGCTCTGGTCTTGCTAGATATCTCAGTGTTTGCTCAACCCTTTGACTTTTCTTGCTTTATGAATCTTTATATAGTACATTTTCTTTGGCTTTTTGAACTTGAGAAGTTAATGCTTAAGTAATGTGGAAGGTTTAGATTGGAGCCAGAATATTTCTGAAGGGTTTTGTCTGATGTCCTGTGGGAAAGGACCCTATGTGAAATGAATGCTTAGATACTTAGGATCTACTTTAGCTTATTCATATTTTAGCCTTGAATGTGGCCCTAGTAAGGGTCCTTAAAGATAACTCCAGTGCCATATCTGCACGTATGATTCTTTGATTTAGTATAACTCTCAAGGCCCTTTATGAATTCCTGGTTACAGCTCTGAATATACTGTATTTCTCTATATGAAGTTAATCAAGTGGATGCCTTTATTTAATGGCAATAAACATTTCCTGAAAAACCAGGACTCTCTTACTTGCAAATGACAAAAACTGAGATCAAACTGACATAAGAAAAGAGGAAAATTCCATAGCCAAAGAAACTAAAAAATCAAGGGGCAGGACTTGTCCCTCTCTGACCCTGGGCTCTACTGTATTTTTTGTTTTGACCTCATTCTTAGGGAAGATTTCCCACGTGATGGTAAGATGACCACTGGCAACTTCAGGTTGATTTTCTTTTTCTAATTGAGTAACTCCAGGAGAAAGAGGGCTTTCCTTTTCCACTAATTTTACCCGAGATCATGGGGTGGTCCATTGACTTGATGTGGTCACGTTTTTATCTATGAACCAATCCTTGTGAGGACAGGGAGACTAATATTCTTAGCAGCTAAATCTGAATCACTTGACAACTGTTGAAGCCTTGGGATATAAGTACTTCCACCCAAACCACAAAAACTGAGAAGAATCTAGAACTTGCTACAAAAAGAAAAGAGATAGGTATGTAATCTAGGTAAAAACAGTAGATGTTCTTTCACAGTGTACCAGGTGCTGGTTGCAAAGCCAAGTAAGACACTTGACAGCCATCCTACAATACATGGTTTGTTAGAAGACTGTTGCATGGTTAATTTAAGGATATTCTGGTTAAGTACTAAATTTAGGGATACCCAGAGGACTCCAGAAATTCATAGAAGAATTGTGTAAGTGCCTACTGTACTGGAAGGCCTTTAAAAGTTACTTGGAGGAGACTGTGTGGGTGGAGGGTAGAAAGAATAGGCACAGATACAGGTCATTATTATCAGATCATAAAGAGAAAAGTGCTAAGAGATGAGGTTGAAAAAGTAGTAAGGGTATAGGTCATGGAGACTTGTTAGATCATGTGAAGGAGCATGACCTTATTGATGAGGAACTGTTAGTGGGAAGAGGAATGGTTAGCTCTGGGATTTGGGCAGATCATTGGTAGCATTGTAACTAGAAGAAAATAAATTTAAGATGATCTAGATCAGAAGTAGGGAGAACAGTTCAAATCCACTCTGGACTCAAGTGGTGGTAATAGAAAAAGGTGGTTGGGATGAGGGTGGGGATTGAAGAAATATTTATGTAAAATCAGGCCATCTTGGTGATTGATTGAAGAAGGAAAAAGTCTAAAATGTTTCTTTTAGTTCAATTCAGGTCACTGGTACATGCTAAACCTCTAAAGCTCTAGGTAATAAAAGGATGGAAAATCTGGGGGTAGGAAGAGGAAACAATGAAAACTGTCTACACATTGAATGTGAGATGCCTGCAGGATATCTGGTTCATATATGCAGCAGGCATTTGGAATTCATCGTTTCAAGAGAAATGATGTAAATAAGGATCTGTGTCAGGAGCAGGTCAGGGACAGTTAAAAAGCACTGCAGTAGGATGGTTGGAGGTGTTCACGGAGAGGGAGTAGGTTGATAACTGTAGAGACTAAAGGCAGGAACTCCAGATAACACTTGGTTTAAAGACTGGCCAAGTATGATTAACACATGTGAGAGATTTGTACTCGGAGTAACTACTTTGAAGATCATGATACACGTGTGTTAACTATTGTTATTCTCTTATTTTGTTTGAAATTTTGTTTTATGTTTTCCTAAAATAAAAAAGAAGAGATCATAAAGTTAGGTGGAGAACCACATGATAATGTTGATCAAAAGCCAAGAGAACTACAAACAACTCAAAGATGCATTATCAAGAGAATAGGTAAATCATGGTCTGTGTGGAGCGTGACGTACCACACAGCAATAAGTAAGAATGAAAAATGGATATAGGCAACATTGTGGATAAACAGAACTGACATTTGTGTACACTAAGTAGTCAGACTCAAAATGAAATTATGATTCCATTTTTATGCATTTTTAAGATTACTTTTGTAGTAAACATAAGGTTTTCTTTGGACAAGAGGAGGAGGAGGACATGATTTGAGCAGGATTGAGTAAGAAGGAACCTAAGGGGACCTTCCAGGGCTGATGGAATGTTCTGTATCTTGGTCTGGTTTGCAGTTTCACAGGCATATACATAGGTAAACCTTTCTTGAGTTCGGACCGTATGGAAACTATACCTCAGATTTTTTAAAAAGCCAAAGAATTAGAAATGTTCAAAAAGGAACGAGTGGATAGCAGTGTTAAGTGCTGTCAAGAGTTCCTACCTAGTAAGACAAGGACTGAGGTTAGATGGTATGTTGCAGTGAGAACAAGAGCACCAGCTGCCAGGATGCTAATGTAATCTTGCGCAGTAATCTTGGTGAGCTGAATTCAGTCGTTGGTAGATGATAATCTTTCTACATTTAGACAAGAAATACTGCTTATGAATGGATCGAGGCAATTCCGACAAACACATTAGCAGAGAAGAAAGAAGGAGAAAAACAGTTGGAGGCAGAAAATACTGAGGAAGTGTCTAAAAATTCAATAGAGGTAAGCAAAGCAACTAACACCCCCCCTTTCTCCTTCTCTCCCTCTCCCTCCCCCACTCTCTTCCTTCTCCTCCCCTACCTCTCTCCACTCCCCCTCCTCTTCACAACTTTGAGATGTGGATATTGCAGTAGAGGACTCAGTGAGCTTTTAGTTTGTTTCACTGCTATTCATAATTTGAACCTTGTGAGCCAAGATTGTAGCATCTCAATTCCAAATGTAACAGAAGAGTGAAGAAAAAAAGTGCATGTGTGTTGTGTCATGGGGAAGGTTCCCAAAAGCTGCCACCAAACACTTCTCATTTAAATTCAGTTACACAGTCACATTTAAATGTAGGGGAGCTCTACTGGTTTTTGTATTGATGAGCCCGTCTGTAAAACTGTATTACTGCTATGGAGGAAAAGAATGTTTATTGATCATTCTCTGTTAGCCTCTACTAACTGCAAGGCATTGTCATTTCCATACAGATTAAAAAAAGAACCTAATGTTTCATTTTGTCGTGTTTTTTGTTTTCCTGTCCAGGATATCCATGCATTTGCAATCCGGACCCTAGCAGAATTCACTGCCTGCTCAATTGAACTGTTTCACAAAACAGCAGCCTTGGTTCTCCATGGCCAGAAGCAGGACGTGACCGCCACAGAAAGGAGCCAGATTCTTTCCCAGTAAGTAATGCTGTCTCTTCAACCGGAGGCTGTTGGCATCCCTGCCATTCACATTAAAGCTTTATTCATTTGAGGTGTTTTTTTTCTTCTTATTGTGCTCTTGTAAGTCTGCAATATAAACCTGGCCTTTTTTATTAACTGATGCTCTGGAAACTATTTCGTAACAGATTGTTAGTCTTGATAGGAATGGAATTTGGTCTAAGTAAAAACAGAGAAGAATTCTAAGAATCTCATTTCTTTATAATAGTTACTAGTTTACTGAATATATGCTAGTTATATGCCAGGCATCATGCTAAATGATTTTCATGTGTTCTAAATTTTACAAACCCCACATGTGATTAGTTTATATTTAAAAGAGAGGGAACATAGATTCAGAAAAGTTAAGTAGTCAGCCCAGGATTTAGACCCAGGTATAAGTTACACACCCATTCCTTTTTCTGACAGTCTTGCTAATTTTGAGCAAAAATATTAAAAAACAGTAGAATGTAAATAATCACAAAAGAGGAAAAGCCCAGTAGTTTCTAAATAGACCTCCCGATTTAAAAGAGAATTTTCCATGGGAAAAAGTAAGAGTACCTGGTGTGTTAGGATCAGGAGGAGCCATTGCTCTCCCCCGGGCTCCTCTTCACCTGCAGTGTCACCATCCCTTTGCACCAGCCCATACAGGGCACCAGGTGTCATCTCTAACCCCTGACGGGTGAGAGATAGTCCGAAGCTGCCTGTCCCGTGGGAAGTAGCTATTGCCGACACTGGAATGCTCTCTCTCCCAGGCTGTGTCATTCTCTTGCTGAATTCAGGCCTTTCTCAGATGCCACCTTCCTTCATCAAGAACTCTAAAATAGTACCTCCCACCATTGTTTGTTTAATCCTATATTCGTCTTCATTTTCGTAGTTCTTGTCACCACCTAGAGCACACACACATTTATATGTATAGATGTGTATGTTTATATGTGTATATGCATGCACGTGTGTGTGTGTGCATGTGTGTGGTCCTTGTTTGCATTGTCCCCTTTAGTGGTAAGAATTTAGAATTCATGAGGAGAGGCACATTACTTGTTTGTATATTCCCAGTGCTCAGCATAGTGCCTGGCACTCAGAGGACTTTCCTTACGTATTTGCCGAGTGAATGAACAAATGAATATTTATTTAACTATATTTCCAAATGGAATGTTGGGTTTTTAAAGTACTATGTCCTTAAAATGCATTTTAATGATATCCTTTGATTTAGCCTGAAAGGATGATACTTTCTACAGGATTTTGTACAAAAATGTTTTCCTTTCATTAGTGTTTGTGATACATAATAATTACATTTGTTTTTGGGAGAATTGATAAAGTATCTCGATCATTTTTGATCCTCCGCACCTCCAACCTCCCTTCCCGAGGCCCCTTCCCTATCCAAAATGTCTACCCCTGTTTCCTACCATCTCACCTTTATTTTGCTCTTTAAATTGCTGAGAAGAAATACTTTTCTGAAGCGTGAGCTTCCTGCTGTAGCATGAAGGCCTGCTCAGATGGATCTCTAAATACCTTAGCTTGCTCATTTGGATATATTTCTACCTTTGAAAGCTTTCTTCTGTCATGTTTATTACCAGAAGTGATTTGTTTTCTTACAGAGTTGCTAAGTATGGCTTATGTTTTAAAAAGAAAGAGAAAAGGGAAAGAAGAACCCTACTGACTTTTCTCCCTTCTTTTCTAGGGTGACGGTTGTGTTGTGTAAAGAGTTGTCCTCTCTATCTGAAGAGTTCACTACCTGCCTGACAACTGCTGGGGTGAGAATTGTGCTTCGTATGGGCCAGTGTCCATTTTGACTTTTAAAACAGCTTTATTGACCTGTAGTTTACATATGCTAAAAGTCACCTGTTTCCAGTGTGCCATTTAGTGGCGTTTAGTGTGTCTACGTACAAGTACAGTTTCATCATCTCCTCCTCATACACTGGCAATCACTCCCTGTGTCCTTCTTCATATTCCCCCAGTCCTAGGAAATAATGATTTATTTTTTTATTTAATGAAATGTCTGTTCTGGACATTGCATATAAATGAGATGATAGAATATGTGGTATTTTGTGTCAAGTTTCAGTCACTCAGCATTATGGATTTTTTCACTCTTTTACTGGTTATACAGATTTTTACATACACATAACATACTTTGATCATTAACCCCTCATGCCACCCTCTCCCCTGCTCTATCCCCTTACCCAGTTTCACATTAGAGAGGAGGGTTAATGTGTGTAATATGTTCATTTAGCATTATATTTTTAAGTTTCATTCATGTTTTACCTTGTATTAGTATTGCATTTTGTTACTGAATACTACTCCATTTTTATGGCTGTGTGCCACACTTTATTTACCTGTCCTTTAGTTGATAGACCTTTAGACTGCTTCCACTTCTTAACTGAAATGAATAATGTTATAAACATGCATATACAGTGGATTCTCGGTTCACAAGCGCTTTTGTTTGCAAACATTTGGCATTTGGCAAAATTTTGTTTTTGTTTGCAAACTCTGCATTGGGTGACAGACAGGACCATGACCATCTTTTCCAAAATCGAAGAACAAATTAAGTTCATGAAGCAAGTTGCTAACCTCTGTGAGTTTTTGTGTAAATAGCCATTTTTCTTGAGTAGATCGGTAAGAGTGAAATTGCTGGGAGGTATTGAGTAACTGCCAGATTGCTTTCCCAAGTGGCTGCTCAGTTTTACATTCTCACCAGGAGTGTACGTGGGTTCCGGTTTCTCCACACCCTCAGCAACCCTTGTTACTACCTGTTTTTAATTTTAGCTGTTGTACATCATTGTGGCTTTGGTTTGTGTTTCTTTAATGGCTAGTGATATTGAACGTATTTCCATGTACTTGTTGGCAATCTGTGTAGCTTTAGAGAAATGTCTGTTCAAGTCTTTTGTCCTTTTTTTTTCTTTATAGAATTGATGTCTCACTGATGTCCCAGGCTGGCCCTGAACTCTTGGGCTCAAGGTGTCCCTCTTTTGTCAGCCACCTGAGTAGCTGGGACTACTGGCACGTGCTACCATGCCCAGCTGGCCCACTTTTAAAATTGGGCTGTTGGTTCCTGTATCATTAAATTGTAGGAGTTCTTTATCTTTTCAGGGTACGAGCTTCTTGTCACTTACAGTGGCACCTGGTTCACGAACTGAATTCTTTCCATTCTGGTCAAAGAATTTGTTCCATGATTCTGGTTGCAACCAAATTGCCAGCATGAGTTTGTATATTGTAGAATTAAGTTCATGAACTGAGGTACCACTGTATGTAGCAGTGCACATAATTTCTTGAGCCATGGCTTGTTGTTTTACTTTTTTGATGTGTCCTTTGCACAGGTATTTTTAAATCTTGACAAAATTCAGCTTATCACTTTTCTTTTCTATCACTTGTGTTTGGTATGGTATTTAAGAAATCATTGCCTAACTATGATCATTAAGATTTATTTCTGTGTAGATGTGATCCATTTTGAGTTAATTTTTGTCTATGATGGGATGTATAGGGGCCCATCTTTATTCCTTTGCTTGTAGATACCTTCTTGTCCCAGCACCTTTTATTAAAAAGACTTTTCTTTCTTTATTGAATTGTTTTAGCCCTTTTGTCAAAAATGAATTGACCATCGCTACATGGTTTATTTTTTGGCCTCTCATTTACATTCTGTTGATTTATATTGGAATATCCTTAGATAAGTTCCATATTATGTTAACTACTGTAGCTTTGTAGTAAGTTTTGGGTTTTTTTTTTGGTACTGGGAATCGAACTCGGGACCTTATGCTTGCGAAGCAGGTGGTAGAACCACTGAGCTAAATCCCCAGCCCATGTAGTAAGTTTTGAATAAAAAAAGTGAGTTCTTCATCTTTGTTTCCTTTTAAAAAAGGACATTTTGACCATTTGGGTCCCCAGGCATTTCCACATGACTTTTTATCTGTAGCTAACTGAGTTTTACAACACTTTTTTGTTCTCTCTTTTTATGGTCTTCAGTATGCTTCCTTGTAAGACCTGTAATGGGAGTATAGCTCTTAATAAAATAAAAACCCCAAATTTTGACCATGCTTTTTATTTATTTATTTTTTTGTTACTGGGGATTGCACTCGGGTCCTTGCGCTTGCAAGGCAGGCGGCAGAACCACTGAGCTAAATCCCCGGCCCTTGACCATGATTTTTAAAGAGTAGCTTCTTACAGTGGTGAGTCATATTGTATAGTTACCAGCCAATGAGAGAGCTATAACTAAAGCTAAAGTTTTTTTTTTTTAATTGGACTTATAAACATGTACTGAAGGTGTCTGAATTATGGAAGATGATTGAGAAGTCAATGATGAATTAGGATAAATCAAAGGCATTTCAACAAGCACATGAAAATAACTGTACAGTAAATGTATTAGTGTAAGTGTGGCAGCAAAGTTACTGTGAGGCCCTAAATTTGTTTTGAGACCATTGCCCAAATTAAATGCTTTAAATTTGAGTTTAGATTATTGCTATATGGGAGAATCCTATGATATAGGTTCTCTTTTTCTCTGAATATTTTCTTTAAAAGAGCTCCTGGGATTCCTGAAATTCGTCTTATGAGGCAAAATCTTTTAATGTGTTCCATGTAGATACTTTAAGCTGATGAGTTAAGTATAAAGTGCTGACACATGTGAGAATTAAATTTGCTGTTTCTTTGCATGAAATGAGACTTTTCTACATAGCCTGTCTTAAAAACCATTGAGATTTTTTGAATACATGTTCCATATCTGTATGTTTTGTTTTAAAGTTTTTAGAAAGTTTGTGGTGAGATATACCTCTTCTGTTCTCTTCTCCAAAATGAAGATATTTTGAAAAGTCAGTGAAAACCAATAAAGTAGTACACTGTCAGTTTGGATAGCACAGAAAGATATAAAAAATTTTTCATATTCCAGAGGAGACATTTTGCCCTCTCAGTCGACTTCCTATGCATATATTTATGTGTGTGTGTGTGTGTGTGTGTGTTTCAAAATGTGATTTTATTCTACCAATTTTCAAAAAAATGCTCTAACACATTTCTTTTTTTCTAGGTCAAAGAAAAGACAGATACCCTTAACCCATTAATCACTGCAGTATTTCTAGAGGTTTGTAGTAATTGTTTTTAAGTCTATGACCCTGTTAATTAACTCTTAAATCTTTAGTTTTTGAATATCCACCTCCCAGATTCGTAGTTTGGCCATGTTGGTGCAGATATAACCAAAATAGTGTATATTTGATGTATATTCTCTGCTCATTAATTGCAAGGCATCGAGTTGAAGCTGTGGGGTAAAGTGGAATGGAAAAAGCACGAGACCAGTGATGGCAAACCTTTTAGAGCTTTCAGTGATACAAACAGCCCTTTGCGGCATGTGTGCATAGGTTTGCCACCACTGCCCTAGGCTGTCATTATTTAGTCCCTACCCCTTGACAACTTACGTAATGGACACTTTTCAGTAATAAAACACTTTGTGGAGACCAGCTGGTAAGCATGAAGGGCTGAAAATTACAAACAGGCAAGTGCTGCTTCCTAAGGACTTAGGTTTATGTAGAGAGGTGTTAGAAAACAAAACACTTTTTGTCATTTCCTTGCCAAAAGTCTTACTTTTTGAAACACTCTTGTCCTTGAGATTATACATTTTGTCACAGAGATTCCTTGTGTACATAATTCTCCTCAGTCTGTTAGAGTTAAGGAGAGCGGATTAAGTCCCTTGGAGAGGAGGTGTGAGAGATCTCGTAATTGGTTATATTGCCCGCCTATGCGATGGTTTCTGGGTTCTATGGTATAAGAAATTTGTCTTGTAGATTAATTGTGCAGACAACACAGACTGTAATGATATGTTTAAAACATACTTAAGTTAGTCTAGAAAGATAAGATAACAGGTTTTAAGAGATAGGTTTTAAATATGAATTGAAAAAAATTTTAACTACTGGACTATTGCTTCTCTGGTTTTACATTATTTTCAAATTACCATTAAGGAAATATATTTAATTCCTTAACTGCACAGTTTTCTTTGAGTAGTCAGGGGAACTCTTTTGATCCTTTAAATAATTTTTAAAAAAATAAAAGTTTGTGATTTAGCAGGTGGCAAGTGGCAGACTTGAAAGAACTTTGCAAAGAAGGGGCTCAGTCCTGTTCTGGTTCTCCCCTGTTTGCTGTATCATTCTAGGTCTGGAATTTGTCCTTATTGGTAATCTTACTGTTTTCAAGTACAAAATAGGTTTAGCTAGATGATCTCCAAGGTTTCTTTTGGCTGGAATATGAGTTATCAAATGCCAACACTGAATTTTAAATAGGAGTACTAGCCACTGAAATCCAGAAGAGGTCATTTCACTTGATATGAGTTTCCTATTACTGTTTGTAGTTGATCATTCTTGCTTACAGATTTGAAACATTCTTGTCTTTTGAGGTTATACATTTTTATCTTAAGTCAGTGAACAGTTGTTATCATCAAAGATGAGGGCTTATCCGATATAAATGAAGTCTGGGTATGCTGGGCATAACGACTCTGTAACACTTTTCATAAATACGTGTGTTGTACCTGATAGAAGTGTATCTAGACGGCTTCATCTTTGAAAGCAGCGCTCCTCATTACTGTTTGTAAGCAGCTGTCTCGTGTTCACTGGTGGTGTTGCAATGATGGAAGAAGAGCTGTTATAATGGGCTGGGAATCCTGTGGGTGCAGGACTCATAGCTTTCTGAAGCCTTTTTCGGTAATTGGGTACAGTGCTCTGATAGAACCTGTCCACTCAGTCAAGGAATAAATAAGCTTTGAATGCCGAGTTGGAGCAGGATGCCATGGAACAGCTACCATTTCTGATGGGCAGGTTGGAAAAAAATGCTGACAGATGCTGTTATGTCATCTTATGAGCTAGATCCTTATCTCTTCCCTATAGTAGAGTTTACTGCATTAGTCAGGTCTCTGTTTTTATTTGGCAAGCTACAGATTTAGTTAAATTTCAAATATTAATTAGTTCTTTTGTTGTATTCTAGTGTATTTTCTTTTTATGTGACTATGATTTTTTTTTCTTGTTTCTTTCACTCCTTCCAGGCATCAAACAGTGCATCCTACATCCAAGATGCCTTTCAGCTACTCTTACCCGTGTTGGAGATCTCCCTCATTGAGAACAAGACTGAATCACCTGCATGTGAACTACAAGTCCAGAAGCCTTTGTCGGAACAACATTGAAGAACAGAGGTTTTCACTTGGGATTTATGGTGGCCAAGAAACAACCACATAAAAAGGCAGGAGAACAGGTTTAAAGTACAAGTTTATTTCTTCACTTGGCTGAAGTATTCACATCCTCCTGTTATTCTTTCCAGTTATAATTACTAAATTATTTAAAAATAAATATTTGTAGAAAGTCTAGAATAATAGCTTTAACCAAGACTAGTGGGTCACTCAGGCATATTTGTCTTTGATATATTGCAAAACACTCAATTTTGTTATGGATATAATTTATAGTTAATGGATAAAACTGGTTGTTAAGCAAGTGAAGAACAACTTAATTCGGTGTTCTAGAATTCACAACATGCTTGGTTTGTTAATGTCATATACTTGCTCCTTTCTAGAATAAGGTCTGTGGCTTTAAGAAAACTGAGCATATATAAACTCTGAAATGATTGCGTATTATCATGTGAATTCTTGGAAATGCTCAAGAAATTTCATCCTGTCTTTAATTCTCAGTAGATATTTGGCGTTGAGGAGAACTTTCTAGACTATTATACTTGCAGTCACATGACCTATAGCAAAGCGCCCTTGGGCTTCAAATAACTCTCCCACCCCAGGATGACAAGCTTCAGGTTGTAGCCAGCTCTTAGTCAACTGGATTCAAGGCCAATAAATGTGATTTAGAGAAATAGTTTCATGTTTGCAGACACTTCAAGTCACTTCATGTTGTTTTTTGTTGTTATTTTTTGCAAAACCTATTTGCAGGATAAATTCTTTAACAGCGAACTCCAGAGGAGTGCTGAAGTCCTTTTGTTAATGGGCTTTTATTGTTTGAGTATTATTGAAGTCAATCATACACTCGTAGAAATGATATTCATTTATAACAGGATTTAACCTCTAAAATACTTTTTTTTCCTTGTTCTTTTTTGTTTTAGTGTACTGTGTAGTATGCTTTTAAAAACCACCTTTTAAAAACCTCCAGATCTCAAGCTTTTCTTGTTCTCTTCAATAACTAAAAGCTATTTTGGTATTCACTCTTTTTTACAGAAGTTTTTCAACTTTGTGGTTTTTAATGATCGAAGTAGCTTTTGTGAGCTCTGTCCCTCATCTTCTAAAATTCTTAAAATATAATGTAGCCACTTAAGTGTGATATTTCATAAATTCAAGAATTCAAGAATTAAAATATTTTATTGCATTTTAATTTAACGTGCTTTGCATTTCCATAAAAACCCTAAAAATGAAGCGCTGAGAAATGAGGAAGTTCCAAGAACAATAAGCCTCTTAGTGAATGTGTCATCAAGCCATCTGGTAAGTTTATAGGGAGTTTATAGGGGGAGTTTGAAAACTATATCCTCATGCTTGCTTGTCAACATCAGTGGGCTCACTTCTCCATGTTTTCCTTGAGACCCCATCCTCACTCATTATCAGAATGTCTGGCAAAATCCCAAATACCTTCACGTGTAGCTATTCCTTTCCCTCGTCAGTTCATCAGGAAATTGTGAAAAGAAATCCAAATGCCCTCTCAGCATACTTCCTTTGAAGTCAAAACACAGGAAGTCTGCTGTGATCACTTCACCCTAACAAATCAATGTTGCCCTTTTCCACCATTGAAGTTTCTAACTGGCCTACCTTTGTAAATTGAGAGACATCATCATCTCTTTCTATTGGTCAGCCCCACATTTGTCTTTCTGTGCACGTTGGCCATTGCTATGCCTTTAAACTAGTTCTAAAAGCAGAAGTCATTTTCTTAACTGACTGTGAATGTAGCGATATGGTTGACTTTTTAAAGCACATTTGGAAACTGAAATAAACATGGTTTGTCACAGAACTTCTACCAGCGAATCTCACTGAGCCTGTTTAAATCTGAATCGTTCACATAGTAATGTAGCTGTGTATGTCACAGTTGAAGGACTTGAGTGTTTAGCACAATGAGATCTTCCTTTACCTCTCTCACTTGTCACTGAGGGTGATTCAAACTGCATGGATCAGCTTGTTTGTTGAAACAAAAGTTTCAAATAAGAAAGTAATATTCTGGGGCCAGGGAGTTAGCTCAGTGGCACCACACCTGCCTCGCAAGCTCAAGGCCCTGAGTTCAATCCCTGGTAAGGCAAAAAAAAAAAAAAAAAAAAGGTAATATTCTTATGCATGTAAAGCATTTAGTAAATCAGTGAACACTTAAGTACTTCTGTATTTATCTTGCTCACCATTGAGTTCCCAGCTTCTGGGATAATGTCTGGCACATGGTAGGAAATACTTGTTGGCTGGATGAAAGAAAAAGAGGAAAGAAGAAGAAGAAGGGAAGCAGAGAGAAAGGAAGTAAAGGAATAAATGAAAAGGGATGGCCTAGTGCTTTGTGGCAAGCAGAGAACACAAAGCTGTAAGGCACTGTAGAGAGCATGTAGTTGAATCTCTTGGTTCCCCAGGAAGTGACTCCCTGAAGTCACACAGCTGCTCAGGGGGTCATCTGGGACCTGCATCCAGGTTTTGTGATTCCCAGTCTGGGCTGCTTTGTTACATGAGAATCACCCTAGGTTCTGCCTATTTATGGAGAGGCTACAACCTCCCAGGCACTGGAGGAACAAAATGCAGAGGATGAGGCTCCCGGCCCCTAGAGCAGACTTGACCCTGCAGCCTCTGCTGAACACTCTCTGTGTTGTTGCTGCAGCGCCCTGTGAGGAAGGGTAGTGAGGCAGCCTCTGTTGTAATGAGCTGTGGCTGAGGTGCACGGGCTCGTCCCACATCTGGCTGATCGTAGTCAGGTCAGCACAGCAAACGTTTGCAGAAGCATCTGTCAGTACCCTCAAATTGCTGCTTCTCTGTGGTGGGTGGTTTTGCAAGGGATAGATTTCTACTGTACGTAGAATGACAGAATCATCTACTGTTCATCAACCACCAGTAGCTAAAAGGAACTAGTATGTGTGGAGGTTTTGAATCCAAAGTGCCACAGAATACACTCTTCTCTCATCCTCACAGCGGCTCTGGGAGGCAGGGCAATGCAACCCCACCTATGCAAAGACAGGGTTATGAGCCATTGTCAGCCCCTCACTTTCCAGCTCTGTGACCATGAGCGGTGACTTGCTCCCTTCAATTAGATTGTATTATCTATAAATTCCATCTCGTAGCCCTTGAATTACAGTCACAGATTAAATCATCGGTGTAAAGTGCAGTCGTACTTGGCACATAGCCGTGCGAGCTAATGTTCAGTGAGCACTATGTGCCAGATTCTGTTCTGAACGTGAATTGCCTGTGTTAATTACATATATTTAATCACCACTACCCCACAAGATAGGTACTGTTAACTTGCCCACTCACAGTTGGAAAAACAGATACAGAGAAGTTGAACTAACTTGCCTGAGGTCATAGAGCCACAAGAGGTGGGGCTAGTACTCAAATCCAGACATTGTGATACCAGAGTTCCTGCTTTTAACCCCTACATTGCACTGCCACCATCAACTGTTGGTAAAGAAACTTCAAGTATTAGCTTTTTTATTGTGGTGCTTATGAGACTTCAGAGGATTAAGTGATCTTTTCAAGTTTTGCTTCCGTGGCACAAGTCTCAGTTGTGTGGTTCCCGACTCATGCTTGCTCTACTTTATTTCCCTGAGGAGAAAGGCCTAGAGGCTCTATCTAGTGATAGTATCTGTATGGAAGCATCTGGTGGGATTATCCAGAGCCTCCGGACATGGCCTAGAGATGATGGCGTGGTGACAAGTGTGTTTGTCACAGCAGGACCGAGACCTCAGTGAATAGGGAGCATCTGTATCGATTAGTGATCAGGAAGGAGAGAGGAGGACACAAGTGTGCACGGCAGCTCTGAGACAGCCCCAGGCTGGAGGTAATGCAGATATCCTAGGTCAATTGTTGCCAGCAATTAAAAGGGACAAACTGTGGAGATAGGCAAGAACTTGGGTGAATTTTGAGGGAATTACGTGGGGTGAAAAATCCAATCCCAAAAGGTTACGTACTGTAAAATTGCATTTATATAACAATAAAGGACAATTATGTAGGAGAACAGAGTAAGAGTTGTCAGGGTTCAGGCACGGGGCGAGATTGCTGTGGCTTTGGCAGCTGGACAGGTCTCCGTAGTGACAGGATCTCAACTCTGATGGTGGACACATGGAACTGCACATGTGATAAAGGGAGTAGACCCAAGTAAGACAGACACCCCACAAGTGAGTACAAGGAAAGCAAACCTGAATATTGGTGGGTTGTAATATCATTGTCCTGGTTGGGAAATCAGTTTTGCAGGATATGGCTGGCCATTGAGGGAAAGTTGGTTAAAGGGTACACAAGATGTCTGTTCTGAATAACTGCATGGGATGTACAGTATTTAAATCAATATTTCAATGGAAAGAGGACTTTGGGCCAAAGGAGGCAACTTCCTGGAAGGATTGAACAAAGGCCCAGTGGATCCTGTCATCCGTTTAAGTGCCCCTCTCACAGGCACTAGGAAGCAGAAATGGTGGCAGGTAGGCCCACCCTAACCCGCTCAGTGAGCAGGTACTTCGGCAGCAGAGGTGGGGTGAGAGGAGATCAGGACAGGTTTGAGAAGGCTTCCTAAGGGATTCTGAGCCATCGTTTTTCAGTGAAATTCACCGAACCTGTGGGGAAGATGATATGTATGTTCTATAGTATGGATATTATACATGTTTGGCACAGTGCCTGGCCATAGGAGTCCCTGTGTTTGGTGATTTATAACTACTGTATGGGAGAGGACACTGAGGCTTAAAAAGACTTTGTGCGGTGCTGCCAGCCAGCTATGCTCTGTCTTCATTTGTGCCTCTAGGATCTCCTGTGGCCTAGAGTGGGGAAATGGGACTTCTTGGCTTAGTCCTTTCTTGAGCCTGTTTCCTTACCTGTAAGGTGGAGGTAGTGACATCTCTCTCCTTTGCCTCGTGATAACAGTGTGCATTTCTTACTGTAGTGGAAGCACTTAAAGGAGAATATGGCCCAGTAAGGACTCACATTTAAAAGACATTCTTGAGTACTAATTTACTGCCATTCTGAGACAATGCAAAAAAGCCAATGGTAATACCTGTCTCCCAGGGTGAGGATTAGGAGGTGAAACCCTTGGAGGATACCAGTCCAGGAGTTATCTCATTCTTTGCTGTCCCTGTCTGTGCTCATGATTCCTAGTTCAGGAATCCCATGTTTCTGGTTTGGGAGTTAAGCAGGGAGCGCGGTTGCTGGGTGAGGTAAGCCTGTGCCCAGGCCTTGATCTAGACATCCTAACCTGTTTGAACTTGTTAAGGAGTCTGATTATTTCCTTTGTCTTGGACCTCTTCCCTGTCTCCTTACCCACTTTATGAAGAGTAAGTTTTGCTTATATATTTGAGAGCCAGGAAGGAATCCTGGCAGCCAAATGATATTTCACTGAACCCTGGGCTTCTCCGAAGCTCATCCCTGCTCTCTTCCTGCAGATGAGGCGGTCCTCCATGCCTCCAGTCCCTGGCACTTCCCCTTGCAGAGACAAATCATGAGTACAGCCAACTCTGTCCCGTCTTCCTCATGCAGGTGAACTCAGATGGTGGGTGTGCTAACCACAGTACCACCTTCCATTTGTGTGGGTATGTGAAAAACTCTTACATAAGTTTTCCCAGCCCTGTTTTAAGATGGGGCCACAGATCTGCGCAAATCAAAAGGAGTAAACAGAGTCACTGAGCCTGTGGGTGGCTATGCTGAAATACGTGTGTTGTGGAGTTCTTGGGGCCCCCTCAGCTTCCTGGACAGAGTAGAACACATGAGATGAAACCCTTGTCCTTGGACCAGGCGGGTGCTTCTCAGGGACAGAAGAGAGATTTCCAGGTATAAGGGCCCTCAGGTGGGCTCAGCCTTCTCTGTCCAGGTGACAGGCTAACCTTGGTATAAAGAGTGATGGCTCTGACCAGATAGTGGACAATGGGGTATTGCTCTGGAGAGGCTCCTCACTTTCCCAGTCACCTGACTTCCTATAGCGCATCTTAAGACCAATTAGAGCTCCGGTTGATCTAGGTTCAAATTCTGACTCAGCCACTTCTGTCTAGCTGTGTTACTTGGGCAGCATATTCCCTGAGCTCTGTTTCCTTACTGGTACAGTGGAATAAAACAAGCACACACCTTACAAGGATGTTACGTTATGGGTATACTGTACTGTTCATACAGCTGTATAGCTGGCTGCTCAACTTGTGGGTTCCCATGTCTAATGAAAATGTAGAGCTCCTAATTCAAAAGCGGGGGAGAAAAAGCTTTGTCTCTTTATCCATGGTCTATTTCTTAGCCTATCAAATTTTGCATTTGTTGTTGAATGTCTCCTTAGGCACAAGGCCATTTACCAGGTAGGTTCAGACCCTTACAGGTACTGTTACCTCACCCTGAGACCAAATGCACCAGGCTGTGTGAAAGTTCTAAGCTCTCAGCAAGTCACTGTTCCATTGCACAGCCCTTACAAAACCTAAATTCAGTGATAAAATTAAACATTTCAAGATCAGACCACAGAGATTAAACCCCATATGTAGACCTTTCTGAGTGTGGCCTTTTGCCTATGCTGGTTGCATGTGAATGAAGCTGGCCCTGAACCTACCTTCAAAGCGTTTACTATTGTCTGGTCTGTAGGAAGGACAGAAGAGAGCCAGTCTTGCTTGCTCAAGAGGTCAGTAGCTCAAACTTTCACCTGAACTTTGCACCTCTAGCCTGCTCGTGGAGAGTCAGGACAGGTGTTACTGTCACCTTTGTGCATATGGAGAAACTGAGGCCCTGAGAGAGAATGGAATTTGGTATGCTCACCTATGGTTAAGAACAGAGCTGGAATGAAATGGTGACTCAAGACTTTCAGTCAGTGTTGAGCATCTTGAGC